ACACACACATATGTATTTATATTCATATATGTGCACGTATGTATACATGTACCGACGCGCTTGTATATTTGCATGCATAAAATAATATATCTATCTGAATATATATATATATATATATCCAACACTGACTTTTGAGGTTGAAACGCGTACAGAAGGAAGCCCAGTTTGTATACATGTGCATCATTTGAACTGGTACATGTAAGCATCATTTATTCTGTACAACTTCATCATCAGTATATTGTCTAAACTACATCCGCTGTGAGGCCTCTATCCCAGTCATGATGACACCGAGACATGCATCCATTGGGGACATACACATAGCACACCCTTGTACACAGCACATACAGCCATGCGTACTGATAGCACTATTTGTATTCGTATAGCAGTGCTTAAAACACAAATTCAATTGTATGTAGACATCCACCAAACGGCACCACTGTGGCTTTTAAAATGATAATCATGTATCCAGGATAAGGAACAGGCAGTCACACCACACACCATACAAACACGCATCTATATACTCAGACAAACTTAGTACCCCATGTATGGCCCGCTTACGTACTCCGCACATATCCTTTGATCACGCTCGGTGAACACAAATACAAGTGTATTGACCACGCACTTAACACCCACACCCACACCCACACCAACACGTGTCAATCAGTAGAGCACCACCACCATGGCGTCCAATCTGCCTACGCTTGGTGCAGTGCCCGTCACCAACGAAAAAGGGCAGACGCGCATGGAGAAGGTCAAAGTAAAGCGCTACGTGCCTGGCAAACGCCCCGACTACGCGGCCGATGAAGAGAGTGAGGAGGTGGGTGTGCTTGGGGTGTGTGGGGGGACAGTGGCTCAAGGGATGTGTGTGGGGGTGCGTATACTGTTTCATAACTGTATATGCTCTGTCTGATAGCCTTTGAGAGTAAGTATGACCTCTTGTAGATATCGTTCCGAGGCTGTTGCTGGGATACCATGCACTTTCATTGGTGCGCGGGTTACTCGTTAGAAACGATGGCGCATCTTTTGTTCTGCATGGCCTGTGTATTAGTATTCCATCTATTGAACTTCTGAGGAAGTTGTGGCGTATGTATTTATATACATATATACGTTTGTGCGTCTTTTATTCTGCATGGCCTGTGTATTATTATTCCTTCTACTGTACTTCTGAGGAAGTTGTGGCGTATGTATTTATATACATATATGTGTTTGTGTATCTTTTATTCTGCATGGCCTGTGTACTATTATTCCTTCTGTTGAACTTCTGCGGAAGTTGTGGCGTATGTATGTATTTCTATACATATATGTGTTTGTGGGTGTATACCATCATGTGAGTGGGGTTAACAGTATTAGACCGAGGGATGATAAATGGGCCTAGTGGCAGTGGGCCGAGACAGTGTAGACAGCATATTTGTACGATCATCCCGTTGACAGCGCTTTGCGATAGTACTGAGCTTGCTGTGACATAATAAAACCTTGCGAGGAATCTACGAATTGTTTTACCATGAAGTGTGCATATTCCGATGGGAGTGTTTGTTATGCGAATGACGCACCCGAAGTTCGCAACATTAGTTTAGTTTTGTGTACACACGCACTACCTACATCAGTGGACGTACACATGAACCCCACGGCAGCACAAATAAGACACGTCGGCAAAATAAAATACCTGATATCAACGAAGACTATAAACAAACGCACAATCGCACAGACACACACTGACACAATAAATGGAGACCCAAAACAAGCACAGTAGCCAACCAGTCACACAGAACCACACACTGACACTGCAGCCACATTTAATACTCTCACAGGAAGCAGATGATGATGAGCGCGTGGGCAATGAGGGGACCAGTGAAGCTCTGGTGGATGTCAAGCCAGAAGATTTGGCCACAGACAGACGTCTGCGGAGACTAATGCTTGCACAGCAGAAGAGCACCGCTGAACGAGAGGTGTACGAGGGAGAGGTGGTCGTAAGCAGGTGTGTGCACGCTTATGTCTTACTAGTTGAAGCCTTTATATACACTATA